CACATATTGAACATAATGCATATCGAGCGTCGTTTGGTCGGCTAACTGGGACATTGGGAACTAATTCCGATAAATTAGAGGGGGACATTTAAAACAGCTTATAACACTCAGTGGTAGAACGTTTCTAATGCGAGAATGATACGTTAGTGTGCAACGGACTCGTGGTGCAACCGGAACAATGTCGACGCATTGCTAGTACGGACTTCTCTCTTCTGCATTAAAACGTTTCACTTATGCATCCTACGTTGATATTCTATTATTCTGAAGAGTGGAGCAATTTGCTACTTTACAGTATTGGTAGTTGTTGAACCGAAATCATACTGCAACTTTTTCTAGCATGAAAGTAGTCGTCGTCACAAAAGACCCATAGTGACGGGCGATTTCTTGCGATTATAAAAGTGTGTACTTCAAAGATTTATTTGTTTGTGATAACTATGATAGCCTCACTAAACAACTAGAGTGCTAAGAAAGCGCTGGTCTTTATGCTACACTCCTACCCTTTCCCCAATATTATGGTCATTTCCCCTGTTCCTTCATATTTTCAATTTTATCGCTCTCCGCTTCTACTCCACACTTTGTTTTTTTTACTTTTCTTCACTTCATGAAGGAGTATCGCCACTTATTATAAATTTTTGGCATTTAAAAAAATTGGACGGTCACGTCCATAATATTCAGTTGCGATGTAGTACGTGTTCGTGTTTAAGAGAAATTCATAGGCATGCGACTAAAGGTCTCACTAGCTCGAGCACCTCGCCATCTTGACTCGGTCAGTGCTGTTGGATGGGCAGGAGGAGAAGAAATGTACTCTTGCGCAGATGACCACTGCCTTCTGAGGTATTCTGCAATTAGAATAAGATATACTAGCCTACTGTCTTATGAGAAATACGTTCCATACATGACTTATGCCAGTAACATTAAGCGATGTCAGGGAACGTCTCTTAAAATGTTTATGCATTCTTGGGCTTCTAAAATAGCCTTACATCCTTGTAGGTTTTCGTCGCCAAAAGTGCTGCGAAAATTCAACCTCCACTACATCATTCATCGGATTGAAACAATCTAATAAATTGATATTGCAGGTGGAACCTCACGAACATGGAAGCCGCCACAGTTGCAGAAATGCCGAGGTAAAGTGAATTTTAAGATGGTCTTGCTTGTTTTTATATAACTGCAGTAGTATTAACGTTATTACAAACGAAAAGCCGGTATCATCACTATGACGCATCGGCAGTCCTCTGTGTTTTTAACATGAATGGTCACGTTTCTCAGAAAATTTTATCACAGAATCGACGTCCTTCGTGTTGTCACTTTCTGACAAAGACGACATCAGATTTAATCCAGGCTTCTAATTGATGAGTTCACGCGCTGCTTTCGAAAATCTGTCTAAAATATCCTTGTGTAGTACACTATTCCACGCAGAGCTCACACAGCCATGAGGAGCGAACATTATTAAGAAGATGTGATTGGTAGAAAAGCCGTGTTATTTTTGCTGACTCAAGATGACCAAGAAGGTGGACAGTTACTCTTTTTAAAATTAAACTACCTTATTTTAAAAGCATGGCTTTTTGGTACAGCTTTATTTTGTTGAGCTTCCAAATGAATGTTGTCCATCGTAACGGAACCCGTACGACCTCAACGTACATCTAAAGGTTTTGCCGTGAGAGGTTGATATTGAACCTATGAATTGGTGAATTGGTTGGTCAAAATAGCTGTGACTATTTCGAAATACTGCCTACAGAAAAGGTGAAATTCTATTGTTTGCGGTTTCCGCGGTGCAACGACATCTAAATTGCAGTTCACTTTTTCCTACGTCGATGCATTGGTCGCCGAAAACGAACATGCGTGATGGAAACAGTGATCTCTTCGCACTTTCCAGTTCTGATGGCAAGTTTCAACCGTTTTCAAAGGCAATCTCATATCGAAAAACACATTTTTGCGTAGGAAGGATTCATTTCGTCAATAAAATGGGAAAGATTGAAAAATCATTCGATGCGCATCAGGGAGCAGTACTTCAGACTCGGTGGAGTCCTGATGGCACAGGCTTATTGAGTTGTTCGTTCTTTTTTGCTCGTTGCTTTTGTATACATGAAACAATATTAGTTAGTTAATGAACGTAGTGCTTGTTTATTAATTATGGAAGTAAAACTGGTAAGACGAAGTCGTTCTGTTATCAGGTGGAGAAGACGGTGCTGTTAAATTGTGGTCGCGAAATGGCATGCTTCGCTCGGTTATCGCACAGATGCCCAGTCCTGTTTATTGGTTGGTTGTTGAAAAGAATTTGTCCTCTCTTTTGATGCTCCTGTCCTAGGACAAAATTTTTCACCTCCACTTTCTTGTGCTAACCTTGGAGTAGGCGACAATCTTCTTAATATCCAATCACTTCACAGTAAGCAAGTTTCTATTCGCCTTTCCTTTTGTTTCTAACCATTACTTTTATCCAACTTGGACGCTTTTCGTAATTAGGCCCTGCGAATAATGCGGCAATGCACTGAACTCACTCAGATACGGATTTTTAGGGTACCCCCTACCCTCCGCCTCCATTAATTTATTCAAAACCTGAATACTTGGAATGTCGAAGAGCTAGCGGTATTCCTGATCGTAGAAGTGTTTTGTCCTTATCGTTTGATCTGTAGTGTGTATAACAAGAATAAGGTGCACGAAGCGCAGCGGCCAGCGATGCCCTGCGTGATAGCTGGTTCAACCCATCCTTAGACTAAGCAGGCCTTCCATCAATCTGCTGTCCGCACGTCATGTGATGCCGTGTCACACAGCAAATAAATAGAATTTTTCTGCTTGCTTTCTTTATTTGCCATGAAATCGATTCGTTTATTGGCTTCCGTGTTATACGGACTTCTTTCGATTTTGCTTGTGGCTTCGGCCGCTACTTTTTTGGTCTTTCGAATGCCACTGGATGCAGGTCGAGTCTATTTTCCTTGGAATTCTTGGGAGGACAAGCTTTGATGCTTCAGCTCGTCATCTGGGACTGTTGCCAGTTTTTGTGGAATAGATGGAGCGAGGTTAGCCCTAAACGAGCCCGGTGCCAATTTTCCTATTTCAGGACGATGACGAAGATAGCAAATCTTCAATGAGAACCAAAGCTTAATAAAATGTTAGTGATGGAAACTAAGGGCAAAGGGTCAAGTTTTTGCCTTAATCATCGTGAATTATAGTTGCTTCACACTCACTCTTTTGTACTTTACAGTCCTTATTTTTAATGTGACTAAAAAAGTCCAAGGCGAATGTGGAGCAGTGGTCACTGCAACACATACGTGGAATCGACCCCGCGCCCATGGCCCACCAAGTCTTCCACCCCTTTGGGGTCGGCAAATTGATACCAGACTAATCTCGGAGGATAACAGCATTGGCTCAATACATTGATAGGCCACCGCGAGTCATTGTAAAGGCCAGATATTCATTCGATCACCTCCAAACGATAATTAATGAAGTGGAATGTATGGCGCATCACTCAGGGATTGATCAACGCCGAGAGCTTTTCTTTTAAGAAAGAACGGAAGGCAGTGATGAGCTGAACTCATCGGTATGATCTGCAGTCTGCAGCAAGCTTTTTTATTTTCCACCGCAACGTGAAATCAAAACAGGTGAACAAAATTAGAATCCTAGACCATAGTCTTTCGGTGAGGCGAAAAACTTCGCACATATGATTGTACAATCATTTTTTTTTCCTTTTTGGCAAATTACGGTTTATTTCAGCATAGCTTTTGATTCGGCATCCAACAATGTTCTGTTTTCGAATGGTGACCACTGCTTTATAAAGTCATTGAAGATGCAGGTGAGACTTTCAGCAGAAAACTGTGGCGAATAAAATCCACGAAAAGTTTTTATAGACGTCTCCTCTAAAGTGGAAGGCACATGATGCCCTCGTGTTGTGCTGCGATTGGTGTCACGTTTCGGAACATATTGTCACTGGTGGAGAGGACTGTAAATTCAAAGTTAGTTAGACAGATTAGAAAACTTGTCTCAAGCCAGGCTGAGATTTTCACTTTGGGAGCAATGTTTGCCATAAGTAAATTCAAGAACTATTGTGATCGTATGCTGCGGGGCGATTTATACGGATAATGTGTTATATGTTTCCTTGGCATTTAATTTCATTGGGCGCATGTTGCCCAGTGGCAAGAGGGAATCTACAGTACACATTGGGTCGGCCCTAGTCTGGTCCCAGACCCAGCAAAGCTTTCCATTTTTTCGGAGTGGGAGATTTGGTGCAACACTCATCTAGTAGATTAAAACAACTAAATCGATGCATCATTATTTTCTCATCATTGATTTACACGTGAGATTACCATTCACTCACCTCCATGAAAGTGAGCGAATACGAATGCAAGGCTCATACCAAAGGAATTGATCAACATCGAGACCTCTGTCCCTTTGTCTTTTTCATTTATTTGTTCAAGCTCAACATTTTGTTGACTACGACCGTAATCTAAGATTTAGCTGTGGGATAGTTTTGGGCGCAGCCTATTCATTTCGATTTCACACGATTTCCCGATCTCTTCTGTTTCATGGAGTGCAGATGGTCAATGTTTCGCCGTGGGCTCTCATAATATCCTAAGATTATGTGATAAAGCCGGAGTACGTCTCTCACTATTTGCTTGCTATTGTGGTATCTATTCACTTTAACCAAAACTAAGTTTTCTAGTGGTCTCATTCGCTCGAGAAGCTTTCTAGCGGATCGCTGCTTTCTTTGTGTTGGTTCGATGACTCTACGCAGCTGGTTGTTGGTAGTGGAAGTGGTCAGGTTATTCATGCTCAAATAGTAGAAAAGTAAGTGTATGAACCAAGATGAAGGGCATGTAATATCTTCTGATAATGGAATATTTTGTTGTATTCGATTGAATGTTCTGAATATCAAAGACAAAAGACAGTAGAATTTTACACAAAGAAGTTCGTGGTACTAGGACTATTGACGCACTAATCTATTAGTCAGCTAAATCTTAAAAATTTTAACATTAGAGCTAAATAGCTAATAGAAGATTTTTTACGACATCGCTACAGGTCTGTGGCCTATGGTAATTTGGAGGTGATACAAACAAGAGGAAACATTCTAGAAGTTCACGATGTGAATATGGATATTGCTAAAGAACGTTTGGAAACTCGCGATAGAGTGATACATGCTTCTATCGCTTATGATCAACTTGTAGTTATCACTACTTCACAATTGTATGTTTATAGGTGTGTTTGGATCATTTCTAGCTCAATAAGTAGCTAAACTGTTGCAAATTCCAAACGCTGAGCAACCGGCATCCTCTAGATCCACAATGATTCTTCACCAGTGTTGGGAAGAGTTATACCGACTGTCACTTTTTGCATACTCATATATTGCACTTTACCCTATGAACCAGACCAAGAAAACGAAATTTTTTTGCTCGGCAAAACCGAATGACATATCTTCAATGAGTTTTCTTTGCTAGAATCTCAGCATTTTAAACTACAGCTCGAGAAATTGGAACACTCCAGCCATCGTCGATTTGAGGGACAAAGCCATCTCATTGGTTCTTCAGACAAACAAGTAGGAATTTTTCTGCTTTACCATTGTGCATGCTTCTCTTAGTCGCCGGCAAGTTTTAACTTTTTCTGGCATTTATTCGACATTAAACTTGTTTCAGACTTTTCCTTATATCTGATGGCCAAACGCTGTCCATATTTAGTTATGATGCAAGGACACTGTGTGAAATAAAAGTCCCTGGCAATGCAGTTACTCCGATAAGTTCGTTTACTTTGAAATTTTGGAACTTATTGAGGCTAGAATATGCATTAAATGATTAGAAAAATAATGGTTCACAAATATTTTCTGGAATTGTAACCAAATCACATAGATCTTCCTCAAATCTTTTGATCCTTTGCTTCTACTAGGAGATTAGGAGGATCAACATCCTCTTCGAACGCCAGGAAGAAAAGGCTTCCATATGTCCTTTTTACCATATAGAGTTACCTAATAAGCACTGATGACTTGAGCTACGTGAAGGCTATCACAGTTTATGCATTTGCTCCACGAAAGAGTCCCAGGAGTTATCGAGTAAATCGACTGAATGGCGGTAAACACTCTTGCTCTTCGTCGCTCATCAATACCGCTTAAAAGTATCCGTAGAGATACAAAGTGTATCCCACTTGTCTTGCAACGCTTCCTTAAATTTTTTTTTTTGGAGAAGGTTGCAGTGAATAACTCGCCAGACTCAACCGTGGCTTAGAGCTACTCATACGAGTTTTAGTCGGTAATGGTGGACCTCTTCTTAACTTCGATGTTTTTCCTGAGTATGAACCTTCACTGCACATCGTTGTTCAACGCCTGAGAAGAGCATCCATAAAAGTTGGTAGAATTTTGTTATGTGACAAGCCGCTTTGTGAATAATCCTATGCTTTGCTAGCTTTGTCAAGAAGATGGAATAAATGAATAACTTTCTGAGCGCTGCCAATAGTGTTGTGCAATGTTATACGCAGTGGTGTTCTCACGTTGTAGACGTCGAATCCATGTAAAAGCAGTCGTCGTTTTTCTGGCAATTTCCATCGTTGTAATCTTTAGCAGAATCTACATGCAAATACCGTTCTCACCCCCAAATCCATCTGCTTTCCACTGCCACATGCAGGTGCACGTTTTACCCCTAGTCTTCAGTAACGGACGTGCTATCTGACTTTGCGGCCAGCCGTAGTATGTTCTCTCACAAAAGGTCGATCTGTCGATATGTATTTAGAACATGGATTATTTTTATAATAATCACAAGTGGAAATTATTCTGTATATGCAATTCACGTATTTTTTTGCATACTGATAGCATTTTGCGCTTAGGTGAAAAGACGTTATCACTTTCAAATGACACAGTGGCCATCAGAGATCGAGGTGATACGTCTACTGTACGCTTCTTCGACCCGATTTCGTCAAGACCTCAAGGAGACGGAAACATTGTACATGAAGTGAGCCTTCAATATCGTTTTCCTGTCAAGATAGTAGATTTTATGTTTAGATGAGCAATCGTTTATTTTGCGTTCTTCGCTGCACATTAGTTACTCGTTGTCGTGCAAAATTTTACTTACTATTTATATAAAGCCAATTTCATAAAAATCATATTCGTTCTCTAAAGCTTCATTAATGTTTTTCGATCTAGCGCGAAATCACGGAATTGAAGCTGTGTCAGTGTGGTCAGTTAGGTGAGAGAATTCTCGCGTTTCGTGACAGTGACGCGGCAGTACTGGTTGCTAAGGTAAAAACATATGGTGTCGCACAACGAATTGCTAAGATTGGTAGGTTTAACGAAGATTTAAAATAAAGAAAAAATGTCATTAGTTCTGGAATAACTGTCTAGGGTGAATTAAAGCAAAGCATTGGAAATATCATTTAGTGATACGCAGTTAAGGTTCTTCTGTGGAACAGCTTCACTTCAATGATGTCACAAATATGCTAGTCGGAGTGGGCGATGGAAGAATCAGTGAGCTTACTCTTATGAGAAATTGCCTGACACTGCTTCTTATTTTCTACATTATTATTATTCGTTAGTTTTGTGGCCTGCTGTCGACATAGTGTTCATCGATCGCTCATTACTTCAGCGATCCATTACGGAGAAATCCATATCTGGACTCGGAAAATTTCCGACGTTGAAAGGGTTCATCATTTCGATTCGACTTTCACGGAGACATGGTAGCTGAAAGCAGAGTTTTTCAGGTTCACCGGAAATTCAGTCATACTGCGTCGATCCGATGGATCACTGATAACCAGCTCGATTTCACCATTTGCTTCTTTTCTTCTCAAATACACTTCGCAATCGAAATGGGATCAAGCAATTCGACTTTGTCGCCACTTGAAGGTTTGAGAAGCCATAACTTACCGAACTATCGGGATATATGATTGGTTACATGCACCTTTCCAGAATGATAGCATGTGGGCAGTACTTGCTGGACTCTCAACGGCCGCTAGAAATCTCTACACGGCTGAAATCGCATATGGTGCTCTTGAAGAGGTTCGTTGAAGATTGTTACAACTGGTGACAAAAAGTTCGGAACAAATCCTTCGTTTTCGTCGTTTTTCATGAGTAATACCTAACTGGTATATTATATATTAGAATGCTGCTTTATTTCAATGAAGCTGAGATATTTGCAAAACTCCAGACCGCAGGTGTATGCGGTGGGGAATGAACACGCTACTACCTTTTCCGTGCGCTAACGCTTTCACCACCACACCATGCAGACTTCGTTTCGCCTGCCTCTCAACTAGTGAAAAAGCTGCATTTACTCGAAACGATATAGTTTGCGACGATATTATTTTTACCATTTCCTGAAGGTTCTCAAAGTTTTTTGCACTACACTTCCGAAAATCGCTGGCAATTATTCGTTTGCGAAAGCGTTCAGGATGTGATTAACTTGTGGCGCTTAAGGCAGGTCTTTCAATCGAGCTGTAGTCAAATAATTTGCAGGATATCTCTTAAACCCGTCCATATTCAAATGTTTTCCATTGTCGACGTTTATTTGAACATCAGTTAATAGATATCATATACAATTTATAACTGGTAGTAATACGAACCCTAACATCCGTTGCACCTACACGACGTTTTACACTGGAGAAGGGCGGCCTCAGAATAAGGAACGAGGAAAGGAGATTGGCACAGCGGCCTCACCAAAGGTGCCTGAAAACTCATTCTTTTGATCGAAACATGAATTTTATATATTAACTTAAAATAATGTAAGCCTGTGCCTCCTATGAGAATCTAGGCTTCAACTATGGAGCTGTTCTACAAGAAGACCATCCCAGCAAGATTAACACTGATAACTTTAACAAGGTTGAACCCAGGAGAGCTCTGGAAAAATCGACATCGAATACCACGAACTAGAATGAGATAAAGAAACCCACCTCCCGAGTTTATCACGGTGATCAGAACCGCTCAACCTAACTGACAGTTTCAGTATACCTTCTTTCCTCTTCTTTCGATGCTGAAATTTCTTCATGGATTGTTACAACGGAATGGCTCACATTAGGTTGAAATAAATGCTTCGCCCAATCTACGTTGCTTTTTTACCAAAGTTTAAAATAGGATCCAATTATCACGTTAACACATAAAGCTCCTTGCCTTTTCACAGCCGATTCTAGAAAGAAAGAAAGAAAGAAAAGGTAGAGGAGCGAGCAATACAGTATTCTCATTCAATATTTATGGCTGTGTCAGGGAACATAAGAACCCGCAATTCAACAGGATAAGCCTGCACCAAGAACTTCTCAAACTGAAAGGCATGTTGGCTTGAAAATGCACTAACCTGCGAGAAAATGCTAATTTCAAAAGTTTCAAAAGGATGGCGGCTTGTGAAGCTTTGCGGTTAATCAACAAGAGATGCCAAGATTGGCAGAGATTTGGTTAACGATGTGAAGCTGGTTAAAAGTATCCATTATGTCCGCTTAGACAAAGACAAGAGCGAGATTTCCGTCACTCACTTTTGGGAATGGCCTGTCACTGCATTCAAAAGAGCAAAGGAGAAAGCTATTAACAACGCGTGCTTCCATCTGTCTTACAAACACTTCTACTCTATTCAAGAAGACCATGCCTGTGAGAGATCAATACGTCGCTTCAGCGACATTTACTTATGAAAGTTCCTCTCAATGGCAAATAGTTGAACAGAGCTTACGAATTAGAAAACTGGAAAGTTACTTGAGCATGTACAAGACAATATCTATCCGAAATTGATTGATTCTGATAGCTCGTTTATGCTGAAAGAGCGAAATCACCAGAATTGGTTTGGTGATAGAGAATCAAATAGAAGGAAGTGTGTGACGTGAGAGATTCTTGAAAGAACTGAAGATCGAGCGCGAATGGAGCAGTGGTTAGTGTTTTGGAATACATATAGATTCGACCCCTCACCCAGCCTCACCAAGTTTTCCATGGGGCCAAATGGGAGCCAGATCGATCTAAGAGGAAAGCAGAAGTAAATCGATACGTCAGTAGGCTACCGCGGTTCATTTTATAGGCCAAATATTCATTTACGAACCTATAACGATGCTTGACGAGGACTAATTCATGACGCATCCCCAGTGATTGATCAATACCGAGAGCTTGATCTTTTTTTTAGTGAAGATTTTGTATGTCAAGTAGGAGACATTGTGAATAATCACATGACATACGTATTAGAGTGAGTAACATAAATGAAAACTTTTCTGCATCACTCGAACGAGTCAATTGGGCAAGTATTTGAATTTTTCCATGAAAAAATCAAACTTCTTCCGATTGAGAGCAAGAGCAAGACATAAAGGATACCTTAGCCTGCGACTCCAGTCTGGTCGACGTTTAGGTTGCCATTTATTTAGCACCAGCCTATTCCTGTTTTCACTTTTTCACTATTCCATTCCTTTCCGCGGTGTTTTACTTTGCATATTAGTCTATTTAATGCCTGCAGGCAGAGAAGGTGGCAGTGCTTGCCGAAGCACGCAATCACAGCAACAAAGACGTGCGTAATGCAAAGATGGTTTTGCTAGCTGGAAAGGTAAAATCCTTGTTTTCTTTCGTCCATCGTTTCGAATTCGTTTTTTTACGTTAAACTCAACTCTGAATCAACGTCTGAATTTCACAAAGGTCTCCGAAGCTGATGCTTTGCTTGAAAAAGGAGGAAGCGTTTTCCAAGCAGTTATGTTGAACATAATAATGTTACAGTGGTCTAGGTGTGTAGTGTTTGTTAGAAAATTATGCAAAACTTTTTGCTGTGATGGACTACGCATTTTTAGGGCTATCGATTTGGCGGTTAAATACAATTCGTATCTGGAGGTTGTTATGGGATATCGGCAAAGGTACTTGGAAAAGTTAGGACGAAAAGAAACTGACGAGAAATTTCTTCGCCATTTAGGAGAGGTACAAATTAGAATATTTCATACTGAAGATAGCACAACTAGCAGACCGAAACGTCACTATGGACAAAAACTGATTACGTACTCCTGAAATTTATTTGCCGTCATATATTCGTGAATAGGGATTAAACCTTTTATGAAAGTTCCATATCACCCAAATATAATAGAAGTCAATAATTCTTCCAGACGAAAATAAAATCCCTCAAGTCCACGGAAACCAGGTCCGAACCATTTCTCGCCTATCTTGCTTGTTCTACACATTGAAAAACACGACCTCTATCATCCAAACAAACCAGTGATACGTCTTTCAGAACACTCATTGAATGCTTATATATTTCTTCGAAATGTATTTTTTTGTCTAGGAATGAAAAAGAGAGCTATTTAATAAATATACCAAGGTCCCGAAGACCTCTTTCATAGAGAGATCTCTCGCCGCTTTGTGGCGAGGCAACGTGGCGCGTCTCCACTTGGCGGATGGGGGATTAATCGCTAACCAAAGGCGACCTCTGCTTCCCTGTGTCACAGGTGAATCCAGGAAATTTTCTGTTGCGCCGATTTAGTACGCACTTTCCGCATATACGAGGACTTATTCATACATGCGTAAGTGGGTGTGTTCTTCCGTTTCCCCGGATGTTAAACATACTGCAAGGAGACAACAGAATTTATGATAAGAGTTCTTCACAAAAGCCCTGGAAGAAGATATGACGCTCAACGAGTCCGTGGAGCGAGCAGAACCGGCTGGGTTACCCTTGTAAACGGTAGGGAAAAAGCAAAGATTTCCTGGCGTCCGTTTGTATCACTCGACTACTAACGGGATTACAGGTGATACAGGTGACAGATGATATAAAGGGGCATATCAACGAAATGCTTAGAAATCCCGCTCATGACATGCACGATCGATGGTTGGAGTTCGCACTGGAGCCAAACAGGCCACCATCACCTTATGAAGGTGAAATTGACAAAGGACTGGCCTTGAAAGAACCTTCTCTCTTTGGCAGAACTATTTCAGGATTCAAGAGAGAATAAACTCAACCAGCACTCAACGACATTCGTGAAGAATGGAATATCCTTAAGTATCAATCGCACATACGCGCAAATGTGAAAACCTCGAAAACCTCATAGGTAACTGACAAACAATCGATCAATAGATGAAAAAAAAGAAGAGCTGTGAGCCGCACAATGTTCATCTTGGTTATATGAAAAATATAATTTTACCGAGTGCACAACTAGAGCTGTATGAAAACCTTGATGCGCTAGGGTTTATCATTGAGGGCGTCGTCTTATCGAAGGACTATGTACTTGTTCCTTCGTTGAGATTTAACATCATAATTGCAACTCTATTTCGAGTACAGCTGGTTGATTTTATTTTGCAGTTCTTTTGCAATAAGGCTCCTAACTATTTTTTTTGTATTTCGTTGTTTTTTTAACAATATATGTAGGCCGACTAGTTTTAGTGCAGGCCAGTGTTCCACTAAATCGTGGTATTTGAGAGGTAAAGTCGCGCTCGGGTTGGTACTGTTTCTGTCGGCTGTTCCGCAGAATTTGTAGACAAAGCTTGCCATAATCGGATGGATCAAGCACTTTGATGTCGATGTAGCGAATTTTCGCCATCTTTAATTGGGGAAAGCTGTTGTAACCTTCCTAACACAGCTTTAAAATTCAATTAGAAATGGAGAAAGCTGCGTGTTGGGTCGCTTTTTAAAGGAGAACAGTGACAGTTTTGTCAGCCCTTCCTGTGATTTATTCTTAATATTTATTGAGTGCTTTGGATAGATGGAATGTCCACAACTTCATCACCCTTACGATTTTTCTTAGCTTCCACCATCTTTGCTTCAGTGCGATCACCTTTGTCATCTAAACTACTGTTAATCGTCCAATGTTTCCAGCACACACTGGCAAACTCGCCATTACTCAGTGTCATGGCCTGAGTTCTCCATAGAGCTTTAGTAGGCTCTAAGGGTGGAGAAGGAATCACGCTTCGATTGGGGATCTCCGTGGAAGGCATTTAACATTGGTAGTTGTAGCTATTCCACTGTGCCTAACATTCGCGTTCCTTTTTTTCTTCACCTCTGAGACCAAAATACAAGAGTGTAGAACGGAAGGCAAATTTTGCACGACCACTTTCAGTCTCGCTCTGCTGAGTATGGGCGAGCCTAAGTAACGATAAATCGGAAATAGATTCATTTCACGCAGACATCGCTCATTTTAAGCTCTGCCACAAGCAGAACCTTTTACGCTGAAAACTGGGTCTTGTTTCCTTTCTCTAACTATTAATTGATGCTCTGTGGGCGATGTCATAGGCGACCATGTTGTTCTCCGTTCGCTTTGATATGGTATTTTTATGAACGGCCTTAAATAGTGATGTCTTAATCGTACCGCTTTGTCCGGTGTCTTCCTGTGTTGACGATGGTGCTGTTACAGAACTATAGGATTCTAGCTGCGCTAATGATGTATGACTCATGAACGATATGTATCTAAGAAGGTGTTTCGACTTTTCGTTGTTCTACTTATCACTTCTATAAAATACAGTTGTAATGATGCTGAGATGTTTGCAAGTAGTGTTTAAGTAGCCGTGTTTTATAGGCTCAGAAAAAGACGAAGCGAAGGACACGCCTGGTGTTGTGGTGAACACATTAGTCGCTGGAAAGGGTAATAACGAGATTCAAACCCCATCAGAGACACCTGCGGTCTGGAGTCTAGCAACTATCTAAGCATATTTCGAAGCTTTGTGCTAGCTGATAATACACCGACCTCTGCACGATGTGCGCAATGATGTATGTCCGGAAGAAATACAAGTTGTTACCACCGGACATTGTCGTTATATATCCACCATCAGCATCGTGTATAAAAGGGCATCACTGAGTGAGGATGCCTCATTCGAGAAGATGGCTCACTGAGGAAGATCTGGCTCGACACGAAGGCGAAGACGCAACGTCGAGGCGAACAACAAGCATGGACCATCGACTCAGATCACCGGCTCTGAGGAAGACGAAGACGTCGAAACGTTAGCCGAAAATAAATATATTTATCAACCTCGTGCAAGCTTATCAAGAAAGAATACATATCTAAGCATAATTGTGATTGTAATTCAAATCATACCTTGCCATGAAAAAGAATAGACTATGGATAAAGTGATTTCATTACAACTTCTGTCTCAAAAGAACGAAGAACTCTATTCAAGCCGACAAGGGTAGAGGTTAAAAGGATGAAGCTCTCGGCGTTGATCAATCCTTGAGGGATGCGTCATGCATTCGACTTCATTAAATATCGTTGGAAGTGATTCAATGCATATCTGGCCTTTACAATGACTCGTGGTGGCCTACCGATGTATCGAACCAGTGCTGCTATGCTCCCAGACAAGTTTGGTACCAATTTCCCGACCCCGGAGGAAAAAAGGCTTGGTGGGCCATGGGCAAAGGGATCGATTCCACGCGTGTGTTGCAGGGCGCCTCCAACTGCTGCGCCACACGCGCCAAGTCCATAAAATGAAGAAATAACAGTACGTTATACTACCACAACGTTGCTGAGATATTTGCAAAACTCTCAATATATCTATATATATCTATATAAATATCTCAGCAACGTTGTGGTTGTATTTCGCTTAGTACCCTGCCGCGAAATTATAGTAAGCAGAAAATAAAAAGGTATAACAGTACGTTATACTCCCCAAATATCTACGTGCCTTTAATAACCACGTTGATATAGGCCATAGTGCTGAATACACTCGAAGAACTGCTTATTCGCATGACTGCCTTTCATCCGATTTATGAGGAATGCTGCTGCACACTCCATTCGATTAAATTATCTGAATAGAAGGCGCAGAAGTTCTTTCAACTCAATGTGCACTCCATTTAATCGTGCCTGAAATATTATCATGTTTATTTAGGTAGAAATCGATTTCGACCACATTCAAGAAGTGGTTGCTGAAGCGGAGGCTGCAGAGGGAGTTAAGCTGTAGAAGGCACATCTGGTGTTGTTCTTTTCCATCGAATGAACTGTTCATAGCTAGAGCTTTCTTATACTGCTTCTAAGACGTTTATTACAAGAACTATCAATAGCTAGCACACAAAAAAATTCAAACGAGCTATCATCGATTTTCCTCCCAATTTTTATATTATTTATCCACTGAAACACTAAGTGTTAAATTTTCATAATCTTTCAGAACCAACTACTTGTACCATCTCTTCTTTCCCTTGATTGTGAAATGAGTAGAACGACCCATTGGCATGATTTCCGGTGACTTCTGTCACCGGTTAGGGTTGTTCGACGGTCGGTACACACTCATCTGCAGGGCGATGCATCCGCCATCAGCCTTCACTTCGCACTATCCCGTTCTAGTCTTCACGTGATGTTCTGGAGAGAGGCGGTTTATAATTCTTAAAAGAACATATTGCCTTGTTAAAGTCCTTCTCTTTACGCCGACGATATGGCTGTAGAATGGTGAAGTTCTCGTCATGAATTTATGTTCTGAGCAATGACATCCCGGTTGTCTAAATTTTTCATAATTATTTCCGTCCTGAGAAAAGTTAGGCAAACCGATATCTTGTACTCCCGTAGCACCTCATCAACTCTTTATTAACTACGCCATCGTGCAGAATATTTCTTAAAGATCTGCTTCCTTGCATAGCTGTCTATCTCCCAATATTCTTCTGTCGAACCCATTTAGTTTAACTCGACTAATGGATTTGTGTATGATAATCAGCAGGCTGATTGGGAATCCGCTGGTAACACCATGTGAGGCTCTTATTTCATACAACAACGTGGCCATCTTAAGCTTCCAAACAAGCCTCACATAGTAACTGTTAACTCTCAAGGAATGATGCGTTATGTTGGCTACCGGAGTGGACGTTTCGCCTCCATTTCAGTTCACTTCATTGTCAATGGCTTACTTCGCCTTAGAAAAGCCTTTTCTCACATAGCTGGAATCTATAAAAAGTTCTCACGATAAATGCCGACCAGCGCGTACAAGCATGAGTTCAACCCCGCATCATGCTCACCAAGTCTTCCTTCCTCCAGATGTCGAGAAATTGAGGAAGATCCTTCCAATGACAACAAAACATGGTGCGTGCATGTGCGGCCATCCCCGGATTT